GGGTTATGAGTCATCTCTCGCCCGGTTCAAGTTAGATATATTGTATAATAGTAGGGCCACACTTTATCACAGACTTTTTGAATCTGTTGTAACTGATGACCGTCTTTCTCAGCTGCTGCCTCCAAGGCACTCAGCCACGTATAATCTAAGGTGTACGTGTAAGTTCAACCTGCCACGTTTCCGAACGGAACGCTTCAAGAGATCCTTTGTGCCTCAGATGTGCACCCCATTATATACTTCAGTATAAATTTAGTGTATTTTATATATTTATTATAATTTCGTATTCAATTTAAGTAAATTTTTCCCTTTAAGTTAGCCTTTGTTTTGTAATCGTTAGTCAGTATACGTCCGTATTAAGTAAAAGAAGTTCAAGTTATACATGTGAAAAGTTAAATATTCGTATTTTATTTAGTCCTTGTCAATTCTTGTTTAGTGTTAACTTTGTTATATAGTTCTGACTGTAATTTTACGTTATATCTGTTGTAGTTGATATGTTCGTCGGATAAACGCATCCCAAAAGCGAAAATCAGTTATTGCATGTATTCAGCTAGTTTAAAAAGTAACAGCATCCAAATGCGCGATATATGGATCAGTTTAAAGACGGTTTACGTCGAGAAAGGGCGTACGCGGCCAAAAGATCAAGATCAGGCTACCTGGGAAGGATTATAGGGAAGGATTAACTTTGTTTTCACTCAAATAGAGAAACTAATGGTCGACTACAACAACTTGGAGTCAGTGGAAAAGTGATGATTTAGATCGAACCTCTCAGGGATTCGTTACTGCTAACAAAGTTTTCATCGAGAATACTGACGACGATGCGAAGCTGGAAAGTGCAATACAGTTATACGAAAAACAGACACAAGAAAAAAATGGAATTCGACGAGTATTACAAGGAATGGTTATCAAAAAGGGAAAGGGAAAATTAAGTCAAATAAAGTCTGAAATAAGTAGGGTATTATCCATAAGTAATGATGCTGTCCACAAAGGTGCCAAAGCTTGTGAGGAAAACAGGATCGCTGTGACTGAAGATCGAAGAAAAACCAGGAAGACCCGAGCTGCCAACCCAACAGCTGCTACTATCCCATGTCCACACTGCCCGAGACTTTTCCGTGCGCGGATCGGCCTGACCAGTCTGCGCACATACAGATCYCAACTCCCCCAACCCTAGGATGAATTGTACCGACTTGGACCATTGGTGATGGATGATATATTGTGATGTAAACTTGAAATCTTTGTGCATAAATATGTAACTAGAAGTATAGTAATAGGTTCATAAAAAGACTTGTAAAAACAAMAATGATGTTTTCTTCCTTTTCACCTTTTTAAACCAGTTTCGCAATAGTTACTGAGGGTCCTGAAGTGGGGTGTCTGATCCCATTTCCCAGTCTATTTTTTTTTTGTCAAAATCCCAGTTACAAATCCAACACTCATTTAAATATTTAATTTTCAAAATAAACAAATAAATTAACATTTCTGAAAAGCTAATTTTATGACCACTTTAACAGGGTCGCTTATGTTCAGCTACATCATTTTTGTGCTACACAAAAGGGTTTTTCTAACAAAAAGCTGTACTATAATGAGCCATTTTTGAGTAACTTGCCATGCGAATATTTTTAAATATTATTCTAGATTTTTTTTACGTCTTTTTAGATTAAATTATACATATCCCACTCCCATTCAATGTTCTGGTTTCCACTCCCAGTAGGCAAACATCCCAGTCCCAGTGCATGCAATMCCACTTTCCCAGCCAAAAATCAGGCAAATCCCAGTCCCATCTTACTCCTTCAGGACCCCCTTGTATTCACTCAGCATAAAATTGTGAAAGTTTTTTTTTCTGTCTCATGAAGCATTCTGTAGGACCATTTTAGAACAGCTCTTGGTTTGATTTAGGAGAAAAATTATATGGTTTAGCTAAAACAGTGCGTACTGGTCCCTCGCATCTTTAATGAAAAGGCAGCCAAGCAAATCATTTTCTTTGATTCWGTTTGAATTGAAAGATTGTACACAAACTATCAATTTTCTTAAACAGTTAAGTATGAAATTGTTTGCATGTTTYCCCCTTTAATTTCCCTTTTTCCACCATTCAGGTGCATTTCCATCTCATTTGTTGTCTTTTCTTTAAGAAAATATTTGAAATAATAAATTTGGAATAACATTTCAATATACTGAGAAATATCCAAAGATCTTCATTTAGACAAAGGCAGAGATTGTCAATAYAAAGTGAAAATCATATTTTCATCGATTTTTTTCCCGCGGTCCTACGTTCTAGACACTCCRAAGGGAACTCTTCGCTGCTACCGATCGGCCTTGATACCTCTGAAAAGCGACCTGACTACCAAGTCAAAATGGAATCAACCAATAAGAGTACAGCGTCCACCGACCCTGGTCCAGGGACACGCTCTGGCCGTTTAATCAAACATCCCAAAAGACTTGATTTGTRATTTAAGGAACACTTTGAAACATACAATTAATTGTTGATTTAGATTTTTTATTAATATCTTTTGAGGGGAGATGTGACATTAGGTTAATTATTAAGTAATGCATTGTATGTTATGACATGGGATGTCTAATAAAGATCTCTTTGATTCCAACACTCGTAGAGTACGGTTYAATAATATCACACCTGTAATGCCATATTTTTTGAGTTTTCGAAGTAATATGTCATAATTAACCGTATCAAATGCCTTCGAAAAGTCAAAAAATATTCCAACTGACASTAGGCCATTATCTATTGATGATTTAAGTAAGTCAGAGGTCTCCAAAATTGCTTGTTCAGTTGAAAAGCCCTTTCTAAATCCAAACTGATACTTGTACAAGATACTATGTTTGTCAATAAAAGCAACTTAAGTAAGTAAGTTGGTCATGAATTAACCGTTCGAGTACTTTACTCAAYGGTGATAGTATTGAAATCGGTCGGTAGTTGTCAGCGTCATTTGTTTCTCCGCTTTCATATATATTGGAATTGCTTTGAGAATGCTAGGCACCTCACCTTTTAAAATAGACAGRTTGTAAAGAGGTGTWAAAAKTTTCGCAAGTGGCTCGCAAGCTATTTTGATTAGCATGTTAGGTATGCCAAGAGACGATTTGCTAGCATTTAAYTGCGCGAATAATGTACAAACATCTTTCGTTTTTACAGGTGTAAAAAAAATATTTTCAGTTGATTCATAATTAATGAATGAAAGTGGATCTGTATCCGAGTGTTGAATGCTTTCAGATACAGAAGTACCAATTTTAACAAAATGCTCATTGAATACATCAGCTATTTCTTTTTCATCGATAAAAGTTTTCCCATCTTTCATTAATGTAACTGGACTTGTTTTGCCTTTAGATTTTCTTTTGAAAAGAGTGACAACGAGTTTCCACAAACTCGACTTTGTGGTGCACAGGATAAGGGTGAGAATCACGTCTCTTTGTGTTTTCTTTCTTCGTGTTTTAAAAGCCAGTCCAATGTGCCTATTRTAAGAAACAAGGGYAGGTGATTTCTGATTGTTRGACTTTGAAAAGAAAGAAAAACACAACTAATGTTGTTGCAAATGTTATTGAAGTCTCTACAGATAAAGCATCAGATAAGCCAAGCAAACAAACGGAGACTGATGGTTCTACGACTAAAGAACTGAAACCATTTATATTTAAAGGAACAGTATCTTTATCTGATGTTGGCCAAAGTCAGAAGATAAAGATTTTGAGAGACACTGGTGCTACACAAAATTTATTATTACAGAGAACWTTGCCATTCTCTGATGAATCTGTACTATATGAAAGTGTGTTAATCAATGGAAGAGAAGGAGGATTTATTCAAGTTCCCCTTCAATCTATTAATTTAAGAGGCTGTCCGMGTAAGAACGTTTAAGGCAAATTTCGGCCCCTCACCGATTTTTCTAATTTTTTCGCCAAAAGTCAACAATTATATACTATGAAATATTATTATTTGCATTTTTAGGGACTTTTTGACACGATTTTCGACAACAGCCTAAAACTTGCAAATTAACCATCGGGGAACCYGTATTCAAACAATGTGAGTYGCCGCTAAAAATTTACTATTTATTGAAATCAACTCAAATTTTCACAAATCAAATTTACAACTTATGGCTGTAATTCAAAGTGTTCATATCTCAATTTGGTAAAAAAATTGGAAAAATAACAAATACTGCAAAATATGCATTAAAATTGTAAAACGTCAGAGGCGCTAAAATACCCGAATTCGAAGGCGATTTTCTCGAAAGTGGGACTTAACCTAGAGTTAAGTCTATTATCGCCAAAATCTGCAAGAACCAGCAGTCTATGTATTCATCAAATAAAATTTGTGGGCACTTTTTATGCCGTGCAAGAGCGTCGAAAATCAAGCATTTCTGGCTGGTTTAATCTAGCTGATAATCGACAAGGTGATAGATTAACTACAAATTTTGCAACAAAACGTACTATATTTGTCAATCTTAATTACTAAAAGACGTTTCTTTGTTTAAGTAGGCGTTCTAAATATGTTTTGAAAAGTTTTTGAAGCCATTAGAAGGTAATCGCATTGTTTATCTCTCTTGAAACATGCAAATGAGATTCAAAAATTTACTGACAACAACGTGAATGCCTGCTAATTATAATKTTTTTGAAAGAGCTGATACAATTAATTTTAGCAACGAATTATTTGTCACTTTAAACTTCTAGTAAATGCTATTGAAAAGAGCTTGTTTTATTAAATTACACCTTATATCTTCTTTATAATTTAGGTTTTGTATAAACACACTTTTTGACTTTCAAGGCAAGCCAGCTAATATTTTCTATATATACTCAACATSGCATGAATGTGATCATTGGCACTATWTTTTAAAACACGAGCATTCCTCGATGAAAGACACAAGTTCTRAAATGAGATCTTTCTTTCTGTACTTTGATTTGAATGGTATGGCAAAGTGATGACAGATTTCTTTCAGCATTATCACGTTGAATTTGCCCAGCTTGTTTTCTTGTGCGTATTCGCATAGATTGGAGGCTTCAAATGAGATTGGATGAAGCGGCTTTATTTCTCNGCTGGTCAAGATCACATCCTAGCTCAACTACGAGAGAAGTTTTGGATACCAAAGGGAAGATCAGTGGTCCGCAAAGTGGTACGTGCGTGCTTAGCATGTAAGAAGTACAACGCCGTACGAATGGAGCAGATGATGGCATCTCTACCTACCTTCCGTATGACTGCGTTTGAGCCATGTTTCACACACACGGGTGTGGATTATTTTGGCCCGCTCAACGTAAAGAGGGGAAGATCCCAAGTAAAGAGATGGGGAGCTATATTCACGTGCTTAAACTCCAGGGCGGTTCACCTTGAATTGGCCAGTTCTTTGGAAACTGACTGTTTCATCAATCTTCTCAGACGGTTCATTAATAGAAGAGGACCCCCAAAGTATATTTACAGCGATAACGGCACAAATTTTGTCGGGGCCGAAAAAGAGCTTAAGACAGCCATACAGAATTGGAACCAAGCGCAAATTGACAAGCAACTTCTTCAGAAAGGGACGCAATGGGTATTCCAGCCTCCAAAGGCTTCACATGCAAGTGGGGTATGGGAACGGCTAATACGCAGTACCCGCAAGGCCTTGAAAGCTATACTCAAAGAAAGCTTGGTAGATGAAGAAGTAGCAACAACAGTACTCACCGAAGTGGAAGCCATACTCAACTCGAGACCCCTGTGAGCAGCATCTGATGATCCTAAGGATTGTGAACCTTTGACGCCTAATCATCTGCTGTTACAAAGACCTATGCAAGCATTACCACCTGGATTGTTCGTCAAGGACCATATCTACTCTCGCAAGAAGTGGAAACAAGTCCAAATACTTTCAAATCATTTCTGGACCCGGTGGTTACATGAATATCTTCCTGCCTTGCAGGAAAGACAGAAGTGGCACCGTCCAAGACGCAATGCCCAGATTGGCGATCTTGTGCTTCTAGTAGATGAGTCATCACCTCGCGGAAAGTGGCCTTTGGGACGCATCGTCAGTACAAGTACCGGTCGGGACGGGTTAGTCAGAACTGTTGAAGTTAGGACGCAGACATCCACGCTTAAGAGACCAATCCAGAAGTTATGTCTATTGGAAGAAGCATCCACGATGAAAGACAGCGAACAAGCTACAAGCTAAGAAGTCCATATAGACAGTCATCTATTGTTGAGTTAACAAATTGAACTTTGAACATTTTGATTGACCATGAAGTATTTTTTCGCTTAGCCTTGTATTGTATGCTCCACCTTGTCTCGCATGGGGTGGGGTGTAGCGGCTAATTCAAGATTATGCAAATTTTCAAGTATCATGTGACATTATGTAAATCATGTAATTTGTCTAGGCGGCAAAGATGTTACCAGAGAACACATTTGTAAGAGTTATGTTAGTTTTCAATGGAAAATTAAACTCATTGTCTTGGAGAGTAAACAACAAGCAACCTAGTGCCAACAGAACTACTTGATGCTGTGGAATGGCTTGGTGATGCTGTTCAGGGAATGGGATGGACCAAAGAAATGCAGACACGCCTGCAGGCTGGAAAACGTTATCTTAAAACGGATTATAATGTGAATATCAATTCTACTTGAGAGAGAGAGGAGAAACAAAGAGAAAAAGAAATAAAAAGTTATATAAGTAGAATGAAATAGAACAAAACACCAACTTGAAGCTTTAATAACTCTGTTTAATGGACGTTTCGGCACTTCGGCCTTCTTCAGCAAACTGAGTGTTTCGCGCTTTATGTGGAGTAACTCCGTAACTCCTGATACTACATACATAAAATGATATATATGGAGCTATAACATGACATGCAAGTACAAATCAGATATGTCTAAAAAAACTGATTTCTAGACACATTTGACGTATTTTCTATAGAATTATTTGTACGTGTTTTATTGCAGGTTCACATTAGTCAAACTTCTWCTGTAGCTGATCACTGTCAGGTGTTTGCTCTTAGTGACCCAAAGGAAGATAAATTCAAGAAGAAATGCGANCTCTGAAACATCCAATTATCTTTGAATCATATAACTTATGTGAACTCTATGTAAAGAAGAAATTGAACACATTTTCAATCTCCGTTTTAATCAACATTTGTACGGAGTTTGGGATTGACATTACAGACATAAAATCCAAACGAGTAAAGAAATCCTACGTCTCAAAGCTCCAGTCACTCTGCAAAGATTGCGAGTGTCAACAATAAAACTTTTGTTTTTAATTTTAAATTTTCCCTGTATGGTTATGCATACACTTGTATATACTAGCCGAGTCTTTCGCAATACTATTATCTATAAAATAACTATGGACATGTAGCCTGGTCCCAGAGGTTTTTTCTTCTTTTATTGATGTTTTTTTTATTTAACGACAAGCAAAGACAAAAATACGATAAAAACATATATAATTGAAGAGAAAACCTCTGGGACGAGAGAAATGGAAAATGTTTCTTAATTTTTTTTATTGGAGATAAATATCTTATTTATGTATATCACATGGACCGTTGTTTGTATGATTTAGCGGACACGGCACGGCGTAAAGAACGGCTAACTGAAGTTATTTCTTCAAATCACGGGCACAAATACATCAGACTTAACATAATCACAAGTGTTTTTAGAAATTTACAACAAGCATATAAATATTACTTTCACTGAAATGATAAACACATGTATAGACTTGGAAAGTGAAAAAAGGAACATTTTGCAATAATATTGTACAATAAATATTCATTGGACACAAACATTGAATACTGTTTCATGCGTATTGATAACGTTATATTTAAGGGAAACAATTTCAACATGATAACCATTCATTGCGTGACGCATAGGTTCGTGACTATTATACTGTCTCGACTGGCTGTCTGGAGCTTTTGACATATTTTTGTCGCGATTTTGGTGTTTTTTAAATCCCAATATATCCGCCAATATAAATATCCCAAGAAAGATTTTTACATCAATTTAAATGACTGCCTTTCCTCTATTCACATGAAAAGTATCAAGTAAATCGCTAATATACCGGGTAGGGAAAATTGATATTTAAAAAGTTGGGTAAATTAAGAATTGTTTATTCGGCAAAATTGTCTTCTTTTTGACTACCTTCTATGGATTTAAAAATAACTTTGTTCAATCAAARTTTACATCCAGATGTTTATTATTATCTGTCATTTACGATTATGAAGTCGATTGATGTTTTTGTTTGCTTTGAATGGATCAAATAAGACGTTTTCGAGAAGTCATAATCACGCCATGTTTGTGTTGATTTCAGCCATTTCTAGTCTGAGTCAGGTTTTTCTAAATTTCTCGCGTTTAAAATAWAATTTTCGAAAACAAACCCMMACCATGATTCTTAGTATATAATAGGGTCTCGATGGTTAAAATATGAAGGATTTTGATTTTTCATCATGTGCCACGTATTCTCGATTTTGCTCGGTTTTAGTGGACATTCGCTSTTAAAATTGTTATACAGACCAGTGAATGTCTCTTTTCSGTAGATACCCAAGCCATCTGGAGAGATGTCGATGTCCAGGAAATGCGGAATGTAATCTTCGAAAGAGTCGTATGTGAAGGTTATGTTGGAGTCAAATTGTTTAAATTGCTTTAGAATGAGAATATGTTCTTTCTTGATTACTACTAAAGTGTCATCAACATATCTGCAATAGAATTTTATGATGTTGGTTAAGATCAATTATACATAGAGCATATAAAATCTGTGCACCGCACAGATTTTACCTTCTAATGGCTTCAAAAACTTTTCAAAACATATTTAGAACGCCTACTTAAACAAAGAAACGTCTTTTAGTGATTAAGATTGACAAATATAGTACGTTTTGTTGCAATATTTGTAGTTTATCTTTCACCTTGTCAATTATCAGCTAGATTAAACAAGCCAGAAATGCTTGACGCTCTTGTACGGTATGAAAATAAAAGTGCCCACAAATTTTATTTGATGAATACATAGACTGGTTCTTCCAGATTTTGGCGATAATAGACTTAACTCTAAGTTAGCTCTTCGGAAAACCGAACCAAAAKATCCCACAATCGCCATTAAAGCCAATCCCAGCCTTTATTGACTGCGTTGGACCACTCCCGTCAAGATCTGGATGCCGATACCTGTTAACCATCATGTGTGCTTCAACTTATTATCATGAGGCAATTCCACTGAGAAATATAACTTAATAAGACGATTGTAAWGGAGCTYACAAAGTTTTTCACGACTTATGGTTTACCAAAGGAAGTACAGCAYGACCAAGGTACCAATTTTATGTCTAGACTCTTCCAAGAGGCTATGAATGAACTTGGGGTCAGACAAATCTGTAAATTTCATGTAAATTAGGGATTTTTTGGTCACGTGACCTGGTGTGTACCTCGTGCGTTTGCCAGACGACCACCTCTTTAAGACCTCTTTAAGGTTCTRAAATTCTGTCTCATCTATTTCTACAATAAATGTCAGATGTTCAAAAAGTCGTCTAACTGTTCATTAGTCTAGAAGATCTGAAAATCTACGTGGAAGCAGAAACCACAAAATCCATTCCATGGCCTGTCATCCAGAGTCTCAAGGTGCTTTAGAGCGTTTTCATCAAACTTTTCATCAAATAGACTGGAACCCAAATTCAAAAAGAGGCTTAGTTTTCATTTTCGCTAAACATTTTGAGTAGAAGCAGCCAACTAGGCTTAAAGTAATCATCTTACGGTCCTTTTCGAGAATTGTGATGTTGGCAATTCTAACTTTGCCTTTTAAGCGAGTTATACGGGCGATTTTCTTTTGTACAACATGGAAACGAGGCTGAATCTCAAATCTTTTTAAAACAAGTGAAAATATGCATGAATTGATTTAAAATTCAACAATATTCAAGACAAAGTAACAATACATGTGTAGAGAATGTTTAGGTGACCAAATAAGTGGTCACGTGATCATTTGTCATGTGACCTCATAAGATAAAATATAAATTAATAATTTAAATGTAAAATGCAAATTTAGAAAGTCATTACCAGCTGGAAAACAAATTAATATTGATGTTTAATTAAAATATATGATAAAAAATTTCTCGAAGATATTTAACTGGGGATTCAGGAATTTGCAATAATGTATATACATATTTGGGATCCCTGTGGTAAAATCAAATAGCAGTAAAATAAAGATTTTGATATAAAAACAACACTAAAATGATAGTTATATTTCACAAATTAAAATAGTGATAACTTCATTTCCTTTCTACAAATAAATATTATAAGTAAATAATAAAAGCAACAAAATTGAAAGTTTGGGAATCCTGTGTCATAGCACCAAACCGAGGCTCATTCTTTGGCAGCCATTTTGAATTTTTCTCAATGTTTTGAATTCATGGTACTTACAGATGTAGTAGATATGTAGTAGCACAAATGTAGAAATGTTTTGCTTTTAGAATTTTCCTTGTTAAGCTTTTTGGTTCCCTTTTTTGAGTTGAAAATGGATRCAGCAATACAGGTTCCACTTCAAATGTCTGATGAATGTGACTGTGTTGATCGAGATAAGTGCATAATTTGCCAAAAAGTCAAGTTCCCTAAAAAGAAGTTTCCTTTGCATAAAGCAACTAAGGATGGCTTGGTTAGAGTAGTAAACTGTGCAAAACTCAGAGAAGACCTAGAAGATCCGAATTTTAAAGAAWCGTTTGCTTATCTGAGGGAAATAAGCGAAGATGCTGATGAGGATGTTGTTTGGCATAGATCGTG